TTGAGAAGAACAGTGTGGGACCCCTGGGTGCAGGGGAGGGGATGGAGAGCGAAAACTAGTGGAAAGGGCAGGAGGATTAACAGGCAGTGAATCTGGATCACTTGAAAATCTGTAGCTGATCTGACAGTAGAGTGTCTTCAGCTGCTCAGTCCCAGCTTTCCCCTGCCCTCAGGCCATGGACAGATGGGAGTCTTGGAATACCAGCTGCAAGGCCGAGGTGGTGACAGTCCATGATAACAGATTTCTTCACATGAATTTACGATTGTCTCATGAAGTCCTGCATGTGAGCTCTTACATGCATGGAATGAGAATAGGAGGAAATCTTTGTGGTAAGCTGGTCTAGCCCTACATTTGACAAATGAAGAGACCACGGGAAAGGTCACACTGCCCCGGACAGAGCACTGGTCAGGGTCAGGCTCACACTCCAATTTCCTTTCATTCTAATCCAGGTGATTCCATTAGCTTGTGCTCTAGTGGGTAGAATTACTGTAACAGGTCCAAGACCTTGGGCTTTTTTCTCAGCATGAATTGGTGTGTCTAGCACTTATCCCCAAATTACAACAGTATTTTGTTCTATATTTTCTATACTTCTACATTTTCTATTTTTTCTATTTTTGTATTTTGTGCAATACTCTATTGAACACAACTTTGGTTATTAAACCCATTACTATATGTCCCATACAGATGATTTTTTAGAAGAAGTTCATTCTCTCTGGAATGAAAAACATAACTGTTGCAAATGTGTGTTGAGATGTTTATGTTTTTAATTAAAGTGCAAGTGCTGTCTGGTTAAGTCTGTATTCTTCTTTTGGGGGAATGTGCACCTGCAGTGCTGCAGAGGAGAATGCTGGCCGATTGTCCTGGGCGTAGATGGGATTTGCTGGGAGCGTTGAGGGCTTGCATTTGCATGATCCTTACTCCACTTATAAATAAATAAACTGGCTTATTGAAAGCTGATTATAAACCTGTTACAGAATATTCATCGATTTGGAAATCTCTCATTTGGGGTTGAGGCAGAGACTTCTGGAGGCTGATGAGAAGCCTACTGTTGTAAAGTCCACTCCACATTCTCCTCAAGTGTCCCCAGGCCCACATGCTTGCTTGTCCCTCCTTCCTTGACACATGCTGCTTTGCCATCCCTTCTTCCTGGAACCTTCTTTCTGCTCATTTATCATTCCTTTCTCTGTAACTGGAGAAGATCACAAAAGGACTCGGGCTGGACTGACCATAGAGAGAGGGGATATTTGATATTGGCTCAGAGGTGAGACATAGGGGGGTAAAAAGTAACTATTGATTGGGAGTTTTCTTCTTCTTTGGTAGTGTTTCCTGAATTGTGCTCTAAGAAACATGGTACTCTAGAGATGTCAAAGGTATTCAACCCCAAACAGGTCTGTGTTAAAATAAATTTGGAAAGCAAAGTGTTAAACAAAACTGCTATAGGACTTTTCAGGGCCTGTTATATAACAATTCTCATATGCACTGTGAGTTTTCACAAGGAGAGTATGGCATACTGCATTTTTTTTTAAAGCACTGATACTACTTTTTTTGCTGTTTTTCAAAGTATCACCCAGGACCAGAATTTACAAACACCATTTGGCAAAAACTAATCAATGTGGATGCTTAAACCTAAAGCCTTTTGAAGTCCTTTTTCTGAAAGATTAGTTCTTTTTTTTTTTTTTAATTCGAAGCTTACTTAGAGGTGGCAGGGGGAGAAGGAGCAGGAAAGAAAGGGAGTAAGTATATGTAGGGGAAGGAGTGTGAAGACATAGGAAGAGGAACAAAGAGGGAATTGGAGAGAACAGAAAACCGTTCTCTTTTGAATATCTCCATTGATGTGAA